AATTTGACGTGTGCTTATCATAGTACAGAATATTTGTGGAATATAAATATAAGGATAGATTTAATGTGTAACAAAACCAGTATTTGTATACCCACAGTATGCCACAATAAAATAATGAAAAAGAAAGGATTGGCAACACAAAAATAGTGAGAATGGCAAACGTTCCTGAAGTTGTTTTGAACATGGTTATTATTCATGCAGGTCTTAATAATACTGGGCCTGGAATAATACTCTCAGGAATATTATGTTTTTAGGTCAGTTGAAGGGCAAGCTAGGCTAGTGAGTGGGTCACAATGAGCAGCCTTCAGTCACTTCAGAGGGCCACAAGATTTTCATAACCAAGATGGACTCCTGGGATAGGGTAGTTTTGCTAACTGCATTTGCATACGCAGAATTTGCAGGGTGTACTGATTGAATTGTGGCAGTGCTTTGATTGGATGCCGAGGGTACACATGGCTTTCTGTCAGTTTTGTGTGCAATAAACACATATTTCACTTCATGTGCCCTTGTTTTATATGCATGGCACTTTAGTAATACGAGTAGGAAAAAATTACAGAGATGGAAACCAGCAGAATCTGGTAACTCTGCATGTGGGCAATGGTAACCAAATTTTTCATGGGCCCTGCATAGAACCCCCGTGGGCTGCAGATTACTCACCATTGCTTCAGGCCCTGATACTGCAACTAGCACTGCGTGCAATTTTTATTATGTATCTTCATTAGACAGTGCAAATTTCTGCTCCCAGATAGATGCTCAGTGCCCATTGTCTCAATTGGAATTGCATGTGCACATTTCATAGCAGAATTTCCCCCCTTCCAGGTTAAGCATATTTATCATTAATTGACTTTTAAAATCACTTAATGTCATGTAATCATAATAGCATGTTGTATATGCTAAAATGGTCCCAATTAAACTAAACTATCTAAGACTGGAGTTAAATTTAAAAGTTTAGCGATTAAAAGATATTGAATAGCCCTGCTAAAGCAAGAAGTTAAATAGACTGTTGAGTAGAAAATAGAGTATAAAAAGTACTTATGACATAGCTCTTGCATCTCTAGAAGGAGGAAGTCTGGGGTTTTGGTTGAGGTACAGGACTAGGAATCAGCAGACATGGGTTCTGTTCTCAGCTATGCTGCAGACTTCCAGAGTGATGTGACCAAGTTATTGAACTTCTCTCTTCTGTGAAAGGAATTATGCCTAACTTTTGGATGTTGGGACACTATAGATGATCATGGATTGTATCTTTTCAATTGTAGGTAAAGAACCTACCCCCAGACCTTGTACTGCTGAAGAATTCAAATGTGGAAATGGGAACTGCATTCCTCTACACTACGTATGTGACAATTATGATGACTGTGGAGACCATTTTGATGAAACAGGCTGCAGTAAGTATCAATGTCACTGTCACATGGAGTAATAAAAATCAGTATAATTGAAACTAAAAAAAATTGTAAATAAGAGAAAATAATGGAAACTGTAGCTCTCAATATAATTTATGCTTTTCCAATTAAAATTATTTATATTCTTTTCAGACTCAGGAACAGGACGAACTTGTGCTGAAAATATCTGTGAACATAACTGTACCAACTTAAGTGAAGGAGGCTTTATCTGTTCCTGTAGGCCAGGGTACAATGCCAGTGAGCTGAACCGGAACTCTTGTGATGGTATTTTCAATATTCTATTATTCTTCTCCATGAAAGATGTTTAATTTGGTTTTGTTATGGTAATTTAAATATAACTTTTCATTATGGCATGTAAAGAGGATTTTTGTATTTCACTGGACCTCTTCTGACACAGATTTTGATGCTGAAATATATTTTCTCATCCAGAAACTAGGTCCCAGACACAGTAAAGAACTTAAATCTATGCTTAATTTTAAGCAAGCGAGTAGCTTTCTTGACTTTAATGGGAGTACTCAGATGTTTGATGATAAGCACATTCTGGTTTGTTGAATTAGAGCTTTATGGCTTCATTCAGCTGCACGGAAAAAAAGGGCGTCTTTCCATTGACTTCAGTAAAGGTTGGATCATATCTGAGTTACCACTGTCTATATTTACAACAGAATAAAAGCTTCTGCTCTGAGAAATTCACTAACTTGCATACTGTGCAGCTCTACACTGAAGAATGACTGTAAAAATGGCACTTCTTTGTCAATAGATCTGTTCCCTGTGCAGTTAGCGTAATATATGCTAACTTCAAAGATGAAAATAAATTTGTATTGCTTCTTATTCCATATTGCAGTAGGATCCAGCACATCTAAGAGAGAGTGAACTGGATTCTAGTCTATCAGCTCTGTCTTGAAAATTGTTCGCTAAATCCGGAGATGTGGGGTGCTGGTGTCTTTTCCAAAATAGGCAGCGACAGAGGCAGGGGTCCCTTTCTCTCCACTCACCAGAGCACAAAGCACAGGAGCAGCAGAAGTCCCTCAGTATTTACACCAGGATTTGAGTGTATCTGTTTGACTGGGTGGGCTTAATCCATTCCATACTTTTCCTCCTGCCAAAAACAACTACTTTTTTTGGGAGGGTGTTGGCAGTGAGTCCTGATTATTTATACTCCACAGTGATCACTGGAGCCATCCATCTCTCTCAGAGCTATAGTTTCAGCCCATCTAAAGAGTCCAGCAGATATTCAAGTTATCTTTGCAATTATGAGGGCTAGTAACTTCCCCCTTTTTTGAAGGGATCCTATGATTCAAGGATCTGGGCAGGAGGCATGGGTTTATTGTGCATATGCCTCATTTCAGCCTTGAGTATATTGCAGATGAAGTATATTGAGGATTTTGGAGAAATCCCGCATTAACCAGAGACCAGTATGTGGTATTGCAGTTTATAGTCATATCTCAGCTCCTTGGAGGCATCTGAGAGTGGTTTTAAGGCTTCTGATTTCAGCTAACCACAGATCCGAGGCCACGGCATTACTCTCCTTTATGGAGATTATATTGCCCTCCTATGGTTCAGCAAATTCTCTGGTTTGGCACCAGTCAGGCCCCGAGGGTGCTGGACTAGAGAGGTTCAACTTGTACACAGTTCATTTTCCTGTGAAAACCAATCATGATAAACAGGAGTTAATCTGCTCTAAGTTGTCAGTAGTTAATACTTTTGATTCATCTGATGTTAAACAGTAGCTGTGGAAGAGAGTTCTATTAGATAACTGATACTGAAGTTCTCAGCACTTAATGGGACAATGATCTACTAAATGATCCTTAAAATATGCTGGGAAAAGAGAAACTCTTGGGAAGAAAAAAGGGTGTTTGCCTTATCTGATCAAGAAAGGAGTCAAGAATGCCAAAATTATATATGTGACTAGTTCACCTAAGGAAACAACCTGAGATATTTTCTCTCTCCATTTCTGTTTAGATATCAATGAGTGCGAGATCTTTGGAACCTGTCCCCAGGACTGTAAGAATTCCAAGGGAAGTTATGAATGCTTCTGTGCTGATGGCTTTAGGTCTGTGGGGGATCAACAGGGAAAACAGTGTGCTGCTAATGGTATGTTTAATTGACAGCCTGACTGATTGCCATTTGTAATAAACAAGCTCACTGTAACAACTTTAATGAATGTAGGCTTCCCCATTGTACCTGGAAAAAATCTTTTTGTGCAGTATTAGATTATCTCTGGTTTACCTACATCTTTGTACCTTGTTCATCTTTGTGCAGGAATGTAAATACTCCCTTTCTGCATCTATTTGTAAGAATTAAAATAATACCCACTTCTTGCAGGTCTCTGACATGATAAATAATCTAAAAAAATAGGCTGGGTGCCTGCCTTCCCCTCCCTCCAGGTTTCATGAAAACAAAAGACTGTCTATGCTCTGGTTATCAGCAAAGGGCAGCTGCTTGTTAGCTCCCAGTCCTGGAGGCTTTAGATTTTGTAACCTAAGTAATGTATCAGAAGACAGTTGTATTAAATTGGTGCAAATCAAAGGCAGTTTGCTGACAGATCACTATTTATTATTCATGGATCGATGAACACAAACAGGAGGATTTATAACAGCTCATTTATAACTGCAATTATTAGTTCTGTCTTTGGTTAATATCAGTGGCTGTTTTGTGTGTCAGTTAGGGTATGTCTACACTACAAAGTTAATTCGAACTAACGGATGTTAGTTCGAAGTAACTTTGATAGGCGCTACACTAGCGCTCCGCAAGTTCGAACTTAATTCCTCCTGGGTGAACCTCCTTTTACGAGGACTAAGCCTAGTTCGAACTTACTAGTTCGAATTAAGGCATGGGTAGCCCCTTAATTCGAACTAGTGGGAGGCTAGCCCTCCCCAGCTTTCCCCAGTGGCCACTCTGGCCAAGACCAGGGAAACTCTATTGCCCCCCTCCCGGCCCCGGACCCCTTAAAGGGGCACGGGCTGGCTACGGTGCCCGTGCCAGGTTCAAGCCTGCCAGCACCCAGCTAGCAGACCCTGCACCTGGCACGGCACAG